GAACAACTTGCTAATGGGAGGAAGACTGCCTGGGGTGTGTGTGGGTGTATATGTGCCTGCTTGTGTTATGTGTGTGGGTGGGTGTGTACTCACACAAGCACACATTCCCACATGCTTGTGAGACTGATGACGTGAGGGTATCTGGGAGTCACAAGAGGCACTGTGATACAAAACGGAGCTCACTCAAGAGGGCCTGGCACCCTGGCACTCAGCAGTGGCCACACTGAAGTGGCGAGGGGTGGACGGCTAGTTTCTTACTGGGACGCAACGCCAGGGCAAGAGGCCCACACTCCCACCAGGAGCAGCAAACAAGCAGCTGGTAAAACATGCGGATGGGACGAAGATGGCCTTTAATTGACAGAAAGCAGCTGTGTGTCAGAGTCCAAAGCAAAATAGATAGGAGGCCTTGCCTTCTTGTGGGGGGAGTGGGAGGTGGGTTTCGAGGGGGAGTCTGAGGGGGCGGGAGGAGGGAAGAGGGGGAATCTTTGATTGGTGTGTAAAATGAATGAAAAATTTTTCTTAATAAAAAAATAAAATAAAAATAAAAATAAAAAAGAAAAGAAAGCCAACCAAATCTCCCTCTTCTCTCCTGCAGTCCCTGCTCAGTCACAGTCCTCATTTTTAGAGCTAAAAAAAAAAAATCTTTTATTTGTTCATTAATGTCCATCCCATGCTCTTGTCTTTTCCTGGCATTTGACAGCATATTATTTAAAGCCGGACACCTCTCAGCTTCAGAAAGGAAGCTCATTCTGCAAAATGCAGCTTGGCCTCATTTGTTGATCATTCTTCATACCTCAGACAGTGGGGTGCATTCATCTATGTTGGGGGTATTTTAACGGTTCACAGTGCCTGTGCTCCCTTGGGTACCACAACACAGGGGAGCAGTGGTTCCATGACTGTGAGAACTGCCCCAAACTGGTCTGAAGTGGCACTAGGGGTGTGGGAGAAGACATGTGCAGGGCAGCTGCACACCTTCAACTGTGATGGAGGCCGAGGGCTGGAGGGTAAACTCAACTCAAGCCAGGCCCAAGCTTTTCTAAGGGGGAGCCAACGTCTTCATTGCCATACCATGGTGTATTTTTTCTCCCGACTGGTTTTTTTAAAAGCCCTGGTTTGATGTATCTTCCACTTACTTCAGACAGCAAATAATGAAGTGCCCAGTGCAGTGCTGGCATGGAGTCAAAACCTAATAAATATTTGCTGGGTGAATAAATAGTTAAATGGAATGTTATTAGCGTTGCTAGTGTTATTGCCTTGGCTTGGAACATACAAGAACAGACTTGAGGCAATCAAGTAATTTCCCTTCACCAGTACAAGCTAATTATTTGAGAGATGAAGATCTGGTACACAGTATGTATTTGTCAGGCTCCATTTGCTCCTAATTAAAGGTGGGAAAGTCAGTTATAGCATTGAAGAGACAACAGGACGGCCCACTCCAGCACAGCTTTTGGTTTTTCCATGCCTTGATTTCAAAGAGACATGAAGGTGAATTCGTGTGCACCCCTCTCAGCCATATGCTTCCTTTTTCTCTGCCATTTTTTTAGAGGGCAGGCTGGGTATGGGGGGAGTAGGTCCTTTGCTATCACTTCTAGGGGTCAACGGCCTCCGTGACTTCTGCTAACAAATATATCATCCTCCCAGCAAAAACCACATGTGGTTTTCCAAGACGAAAATGCTATGTCTCCACTCTAAGCCTTGGAATGACTGTTCATTCGTTCATATATTAATTTCATGTATAATTATGTATTAATCTCTGTACTGAAGCTGGTAAATTAACACTTAACAAAATCCAAAAATGGTCCTGATCTCACGATCCGGGTGATTAATGGATATTAACAGAATAGTCACCCTAAAAGTTATAGAGAAACAGATGCATCTTTTTTTTTTTTTTCTAAAAGGTATATGGCTGTACTGGGAACATAAATCAATGGGAACTCTCTCTGAGCAGAAAGCAGGGAGGATTTTACTAGTGAGCAGTTTGGAGCTAAACGTTCTGTCTTCAGAATGTCTGAAGAAAAAGAAAAGCCAGCTCAGATAAAAAGCATCAGACACAGAGGCCTCCTGTCTGTAGTGCAGATGATGCTTCTCTGAGCCTTAGAGGTCAACTGGTGTGGGCTGCCTGGGGAGAGCAGGGCCTGGCCAAGGCTTACCATACCCCTTTTGGTATGAGTGGATGTAATAGTGAATTCCTCACAAATACAAAGAAAGAGATGAGGCCCAGCCCTGGATGGCCCTGTACTGCAGTAGACCTAGAAATTCTCACCAGCCACCTCCCTTCCTCCTACATACAGAGTGCCTTCCGTCTCCAGCTGCCTCCTGAGGTCCAGACACACATGTCTGCTTTTGCACCCTGCAGCGTGACCTCTATCTTGTCAACTCTACCAGCTCTTCCTTTTCTTGTTGTCTTTCATGTTGGTGATGGGGAAGTACCATGACACAATTAATCCCTGATTCCAGGAGAGGGTGGATGGCATGACTTCCCACACTCACTTTCCCCTTCAGAGAATGGCACCTGCCCCTGACCAGCAGCCATGCCTGAGCAGGTGCCTTTCCCGTTGTGTTAGCCCTGAAGTATTGTTCTGAAGCCTAAGGACTTAATATTTTTAGACAGAGAGTGAGGACAGGCCAGTGCTCAGTTCACGCCTGGTCATTCATATGAGCTACTTTTATGGATAAAAGGGGTTCAAGTAACAAAAAGCAATATATAATAGACTTCGTGGAAATCGTTGTCTGAGGGTACATGCCGCAACAGAGGACCGGGACTAGAGTATAAGGGGAGAATGTTAGGCAAGTGGCTGTTACTTTTTCACACAGTACTCTTGCACCAGTTGAATTTTTAATGATGAAACAAACATGTGTGTGCATGCATGTCTGCATATAGCCCAGGCTGGCCTTGAACTTGAAAGTTTCCTACCTCATCTTCTTCAGTGCTGGGATTACATGAACGCCATATGCTTTTGTAATGAAACTTAAGGCCCATAGGTACTATACAGTAAATCAGCTTAAAACACAACTTCAGCACAATCTTTTTTTTTCTCTTTTAAATTAGGAAACAGCATCCAAAGACTTTCCGGTTAAGGGTGAAAAAAAAAAACAAAAAAAACCAAAACACTATCTGAAGCAATTCATTCCATTTCAAACACTCATTATGATTTCTAATGTTGCACTTATCCCGCCTGTTCCTCCCATTCTACATCTGCAAACATGGGTTTCTGGAATGCTGCTCACCCACCAGTACCAACAACACTGGTTCCAAGTGACTGACTTCACTGTACTCTTAAGCCTTGCTTAAATTTTTTATAATGAGCATTTTTTGTTTGTTTGTTTTTAGAAAAACAATGACATCATCTCTCAAACACAGAGCTGAGGAGTAGAAACACAGTGCCCAAGGCCTAGGCTTTTCCAGGATTGAGGAAGCTCACCTTCACCCTGACTGTCCTTAGCAAGTCCATGCTGCCCCGCAGTGGCTACTGCTCATGCTGAGAGGTCTAGTGGACTCAGTGGTTGCTGAATCAAGATACAGAAAATATTTGTATTGATGATCTGTATCAATATGGTATTCCACCCTGTCTTCCTCTGGGAGTGCTTTATGTTTAAGTAAAGATTTGGTTATCTGACTTGGTTGAGAAAGACTAGTGTGCTTTCTCAGAGTCCCATGGCATCTGTTTTCATCGGAAGGCCGTTCTTCTCTGTCTCGGTGGTGTTCAGCACTATCAAATGATCAGAACAGAAATCGGGAGAGAACTTGAGCCCACTAGTCCTCCCGGAGCTGATGTGAGGGAGCTTGCCAGTTAGACTCTCCTGTCCTCCCAGCATGCAGTTCCGAGGAGTAACTACACTCGTGTCTTAGCACAACTGTAGCACCAGGGACCTCAGAATTAGGATGGCTTCCCACACAGCAACCAAGGTTCAGGGAACTGGGTTAATACCGATTGAGACCAGAATGAACCCAGCCCATAGGCCAAATCTCACGTCGTGCCCTAACTTTGTACATATCGTAAGCTAAGAATGGTTTTGACATCTTAAGTGATTGGGCGGGGGAAAAAAGAAAGGAGAAAAGAAAGTAAATAATATCTCACATTGTGAATATTATATGAAATGAAATTTCCTTTACATAAATCAAGTTGCATGGCAGAACAGCAAGCATGCTCCTTTGCACATCATCCACAGCTGCTTAGGAGCAGGGTCGCTGAACTGAGAGAGCGAAGCGCACAGTAGGGAAAACTCTGTCCTACGACAGGGGCTTGCCTCTGCTCTAGGTTCAGGTGGAAGCTGTTGGTGTGCACGCCTGTTTTGTAAGGAAGGAAGTTTCTTGTTGGGCGTATATACCTTGGTGGCCATCACAGAAGGTGATATGCAATACCACAGATCATTCTAATCTCCTCTCTTCATACTTAAAATTAGAAGAAAGTTACTATGTGAGAAAAACACGGTTATCAGGAGAGGTCATGAGGAATGTCATGGTAATAAATGCAACATAATTTTACATTGCCGTATGGATTACTAAGGCTGAGTTGAACTCTCAAAACAGCATTAATAATTTTCCTGCCTGCTAACATGTGATGTGATCTCTTCCTCGCATCTGAGAAATCTTTTGAGAGACAAAATGTTTTATGCTTGTGGTTCCTGAACACTGGTCAGAATGGGAACCCTTCCCTAACGGCATTATTATATTAAATGGTTTCACTTGGTTTGTTCTTACCTTTTTTTCTGTCAATAGGACATGATAAGGATGGGTATAGTAGGAAATACCTCCTAGTAAACCTTGATAGGCTATCCTATGCATTTGATATAACAGTTGAATTAACAGAGTGGACAGTGACCCTTTCTCTACCTATCATAATACATTAAAAAGTGAGGGGCTACAAAGCTACCCATTCACAAAAGCTACCATAACTAGTACCAAAAATATTGTAGAATCAAATGTATGAGTTGTTTTGCTTCAAAATCTCTGCCGTGTGCACGCGTGACCTCGGTTTTCCCCTCTTTTGTTGTTTCAGAGGTTGAAGGCTGCACTGACTCACCACCCTGCTGCCATGTCCAATGGGAACATGAGCACCATCGGACACATGATGGAGATGATGGGCTCCCGGCAAGACCAGACGCCGCACCACCACATGCACTCGCACCCGCATCAGCACCAGACACTGCCTCCCCACCACCCCTATCCGCACCAGCACCAGCACCCCGCACACCACCCCCACCCACAGCCTCACCACCAGCAGAACCACCCGCATCACCACTCCCATTCCCACCTTCATGCACACCCAGCACACCACCAGACCTCGCCACACCCACCCCTGCACACCGGCAACCAAGCACAGGTAGACCCTTCACCAGCATTTCTTCCTTCTTCTTCTTCTTCTTCTTCTTCTTCTTCTTCTTCTTCTTCTTCTTCTTCTTCTTCTTCTTCTTCTTCTTCTTCTCCTCGGCATGTTAACAGTGCAAGCACTAACTCCGCAATCATCTATTGCTGCCTTGTTTGATAAGCCTAGGTTCTCCATCTGACGTTCTGGGGGTTCTGGGGAGCTCTGTCCATTTCCTCTGAAGCGTTCGTGAACAATAGGACAGGATTGGGTCATAATTTCTATAAACAATGTAGTAAATTTCAGCTTCAATCTCCGGGGAACACATGAAAACTAGAAGTTCTCAAAACCCTGTATTTTTGGAAGTGTGTCACAAAGTTTGTCCTAAAAAATGGGTAATACTGATAGGAGAATGAAGAGAAATTTCAGCAGGGCTGGAGAGATGGCTCTGTGGTTAAGAGCACTGGCTGCTCTTCCAGAGGTCCTGAGTTCAATTCCCAGCACCCACATGGTGGATCACACCCATCTATAATGAGATCTGGTGTCCTCTTCTGGTGTGCAGGTGTATATGCAGGCAGAGCACTCAGACACACACACACACACACACACACACACACACACACACACACACACACACAGAGAGAGAGAGAGAGAGAGAGAGAGAGAGAGAGACTTAAGCTCATGATGAAAGATATAGTAAAGAGACCTTTGAATTAACAGTTAAAAAGCTGAAAAGTTCACTCCCAGACCATGAAGAAGCCCATCCAGTGATGCTAGGATACAAGGTGCTGTAGAGATGGTGAGAAGTGACTCATCCCTGAGTGTGAAACATCTTGGAGGAAGCAGAGAGGCAGCCAAGCTCTACAGATGATCAGACCCAGAGAAAGGTCAGATCCCAGGGGTGGAGTTCCCAGGGCTGACCCGCAAGAGAAAAAGCATGCAGACTGCACTTAAAGAGAGTTGGGGGACCAGGCAGACGTTATGTCACCCAGTCTAAGAAGACAAGCAAGTCCCTGTACAGGACCGGGTTTTCCTAAATAGCTGAAGGACATGTCCAAGGGTGCGGTGAGCCCTAGTCGCTTTGGGGCTTCGAGCAAGATGACCTTCCCCTGTCTCCTCCACCCATCCCACACTGCCCAGTCCTACCCATCTGGGTCAGAATGGCATTGGAAGCTAGGGTCTGCCAAGGATGCTTATTCACTCTCTCCTCTGCTGTCTGCCTCTGGAGGCAAGCTCTCAGACCGGGCCGAGCTTTGAGCTCTTGAGCTCCCTTCCCCAACATACCCAAGTCCTGAAGGGTAAGGGGAGGAGGGGGCGATCAGCCACAGGCAACTTCCTAACCTGTTAGATAAACTTCCCTTTGCAAAGATCCTTAGTGGAGTTGAGCTGTACAGGACAAAACCAGCTCTTTGCTTGGCTGACTTTGGTGACTCTGAACAGAGGTGTAGATTCATTCCCCATAAAGCTCAGCTTTCCCAATTGCCAATGGTGATAGTGCTAGATTAAATGAATGGGTTCTCAAGAGCATGAAGCCACAGAGGCTCTGAAAAAGTTTTCAAGACATGGTAGCCAGGATCAATTCTAAACTTAAATGATTCGAAATGTTTAGCAAGTAGTTCAGTAACAACATGTTCCCCAGAGCGTATTCTTATTCACATTTTAGTTAACTGTTATACTGGGTTCTGCCTCAAAAAGGAAAAAAGAAAACCATCTCAGACAAAGGCAGTCCACTCACTCTGTGCTAGTTACTGAAGTACAAGGACATCAAGGTTTGGGGCAAGTTATTTCAGAGACAAGTTTAACAGTTTTTTTTAAAATATGAAAGCCATTCATTAGCTAAGTGCCAATTAGCCAATTGCCCTGTTTCAAGTCAGTAAGTGCTCAATTGTATATGCAATTAGCTAATTGCTATTGTAATTAGCTGCACCCAGAGTTTCTTTTCTAAATCCTATTCTAAAAAGAAAGACTCCATATCTGGGGATCATTTAGACAGTATCCTAAACTACCACTCTTACGTTATATATACATGGCTGATTACTGACAAGATCTTGTCAAGTTCTTCAATTATATGATAGTCTGAACAGTAGGTACAGACATTTCTGGTGGTCCTTCCAAATCTGAGAGTCTAAGTTAATTCGGGACAAATTCTGTCTTCTTCACATTGCTCTTCATTATTTTTTTAATCAAAATTTGTAAGAGACTTCCATCTTGAACACAAAATGTCGAGTCATAATAATTAACAGGAATACAGATATTTAGGTTTGAAGTTGTATCTTCAAATTCTCCCAGCTGCCTGTGTTTTCCCTGCATGATAAAGGTGTGAGTTCAGAATCCTGGTGACACTTCATGGTCACCAGGAATATTCTTTAACCAATATAACCCTGGGCCTGCCCTGGACCCGAACTCCCCCTCAGTTAGCACACAGGTTGAAGGTACAGGAAAGGTGTTTGAGTGTAAGGTTGATCGAAGTCAGGAGAGTAGCACATGGCATTGAGAGGCCCTTGCTGTAAAGAATAAAATCCAGTTTTGCTTAATTCCGTCTTGTATAGAACTGGTAGTTAAGAGATCTCAAAAGAGACAAGTAGATGTGAAAACAGCCGAGCAGCAGAAAGCCAGCGTGCTTCCTCCCTCTGCCTGGTTCTGCAGGAGCTAGCTCAGGGGTCAGCATCTGAAATGACACACTGTGCTGCATCTCAGCCAATGGCAAAGATTATGTCATCACCAGCCACCCCTGTGAGTAAGACCTTAGAAAATGTACTGATTTTGTTATCCCTCTGCGACTGGGCGGAGAGGAATTGTCAATAAAGAGTTTCAGAAAATATCTTCACTTTAGATAAAATTACCGAGATGCAGTCCGACCGACCTCCTGAGCCTGATTCTTTTATAGTTTAGTCATAGAAGGTTTGACAGAGTTTGGGGCTGAAATCTATCACCATCAGTCAAGTGATGTCACCCTGAAGCCACTATTAGTGCAATTACAGTCATTCTGATGGATTTCAATCATAGAGTTAGAATGTGTTAGGAGAGGGTTTTGAGCTTAGTTTTTTGAAAACTTTTTGCCTGTTATTTCTGTAGGTTAAATGTCTCTTGTAAAACAATTTTATAGGTATTACAACCGTAAACCTGGGTGACTAAGAAACAGGAGAGGGAGGAAGGAGCAAAGGGCATTAGTGAAAGCATTAGGTATCCAGACATATAAAGAGGAGTTGTAGAAATTTCACAAGGTACTATGTGTCTGCCTCTTAAAGGGAAATAAAGCTGTCTGTGTGGGGGTCTCCAACCTTTCCATGTTGTGGAGTCCCATGTAGACCTTACAAGGAGTCTCTAAACTTAGTAAAATGTTTTAATAAAGTATTGACCACTCCTGGTGTTTCCTTATAATGTAGGTATGTGCGAGGCCACCTGTCCGTGCGTCCCACCCTAGAGTGTGGAACAGCATGAAGTGCTGGTAACAATTGTTAGCTTTCCAAGACCTGTCCGAGTCACTAGAAACCTCTCCTGAGACTCTCTCTTCCTTAATTAGCACCCTGAGGACCTTGAAGACCACACCCACCTGGAGTCTCTAGGTCCAGTTAGTCCTAGGTACTAAAGATGGAACAGGACATAGGACCCCAGCTGCCTTCTGCATTTACAAGGCTCTTCTGTAGGAGTCCAGGGGTGACAGTGACAGCATCCCATGGTTGTGTTCCCTGATGTGATTTAAACACATTTGGAAGCAAAGGAGCCTACAACCTGCCGTAAGACTTTCTGCAGAACAAAATAAAAAATAACAAAACACTCTTATTGCAGTAACCTTGACATGACCTGTTTCAACACAGTAGCTGTCCACTACCAATTTACTGTTCTTTAGAGCATCTTAAATAAAACGTTTTTAATACCTGAAGGAGAAACAAATGCTCTGACCCCCCCCCCCCAATCCTTCAAATGCCCATCTGGAAAAATTTCACCTGCTTGTGTTTTACTATCAGTCACACAGTATCTGGCCCAAATGCATAGACTGCAGTTCAGCGACTCTGCTCTTATGGGTGTGGTTTCGTTGTTTATTTCATTCACTGAGAACAAGTTTCGCATGCTTACTAAAAACCAACTGGCTTCCTGAGGTTTGATCTTTTAACACTGGCTTGGGAGTCTTTCTTACCCAACATGTCCTTCCCTGTCCCCATCACTTCCTCCCTCTTCTTCCTCTCAGGTTTCACCAGCCACACAACAGATGCAACCAACCCAGACAATACAACCGCCCCAGCCCACAGGGGGACGCCGGCGAAGGGTGGTGGATGAGGACCCGGATGAGAGGCGGAGGAAATTTCTGGAAAGGAACCGGGCCGCTGCCACCCGTTGCAGACAGAAGAGGAAGGTCTGGGTGATGTCACTGGAAAAGAAAGCAGAAGAGCTCACCCAGACAAACATGCAGCTTCAGGTGCGGTCCCTCCCCATCCCGTCCCCAAGCCTTGTCACGGTTGGCATTTCCTGCCCCGCGGCCGCTTGTTGACCCACGCATCCTACCACACACCTTGCCTCAGAGGAACCCTGGGACCTCTCATTCAGCATCATTAAGTAGTTCGGTGCCCTCAGTCCTCCCACAAGAGATGAGGGACGCATGGGACCAAACACAGAAGCGGGGCTTCAAACCTGGGTTCAGCTGTCTGGCTCCCGGTTTCCTCGTGTGTAAATGGGGAACAACTTTACAGAGTTGCGGGGAAGATATGAACTCTTGTCCATGATGCAGTTGGCATGGTCCCTGGCACACAAGGCTTTTCTTCTGCAAGCCCTCAGGTTCCAGACTGAGGGTGCCTTGGCAGACACCCAGTTGTCTGTATTTTTGTTTTGTAACAGTAGAATTTTTTAAATGTTTTGTTGTTGTTAGCATTGTGTGCTCTGAAATTCAAAGCCCGTTTCCAGCTTCATTCCAAACTAAGCAAGGTCGGGATCTTGTGTGATTTTTGCTTTCCAGGGGTAGCCTAGCTGGGAACTTAGCTGGAGATGCTGTTTCCGGGGTTGTCCTAGGCGAAGAGGAAAGTAACTAATGTGCGTGGCTTCTCAGGAGAACTCCCTAGCACGTCGATGATGCCATTCAAGGTGTTTGTTCTAACATCAGGAAGGTTCTCCAGAGAAAATGACAATTAAATTTACACATGACAACCAGCTTCAGGAACCTTGGGAAGCATTTTAGGTACAACCAGCCACTCTCAGAGCTGAGAGGGACCTATGGTCATAAGGAAGCATGTATGGTGACCCAATAGAAAGACTGTAACATCTTGGTGATTGACAGTCTCTCTAGCCTGTCTGGGAACACCTATAGGGAGATTTTTACTTGTTTATTTATTTATTTATTTATTTTGAGACAGATCTTTGTGTAGCCCACACTGGCCTTGACCTTGCTATGTGTCTAAGGATGACTTCGAACCTCTGATCCCCTTGCCTCTAGCTGGAGAGTTCAGACATTACAGTCATGGGACATCACGCTCCATTTTTGCGGTGCTGGGGATCAAGGCTTCACTACTGCTAGGCAAGCACTCTGCCACCTGAGCTACATCCCGGGCCATCTGTGCATCCTTTCAGAGGAGCACCTGGGATGTCAAACCCTGGTGTCTTTGCATTGTGAGTTGCATTAAACGGAAAGGATTCGTGGCATCCCGTGTACAAGTCAAAAGTATACAGAGGAGGATTGGTGTATCTTCCTGAACTCAGTAACTTAGAGGCACCCATCTCCTCCTGCCCCGCCCACCTAAATGTATCACCCTTTTTTTGTGATAGACATGGTAAAGTTAGAAAATGCAAAGCTTACATAAAAGTAAGATCGAACGCCAGTTCATGCACACATTTTGGGACCATGTCTCAATGCACCTCCTCCCTATTGGCTGTCCCCTATCTCCAGAGTGTCTAGAGACTGGCTGCCACACCAACCTGGCAAGGGTTTGATTGCAGAGCGTCAAACCACAAAGCATTGTCTGGAGCTAGACACCTTCAAAGCCGCAGCTCCACTCGGGCGGGGCAGAGTAGTCCGTGAGAAACTTTTAACAGGAGTGTGGATAAGCATTTCAGAATTTGTGGTTACACTTTCACTTTGACATGTGTTAAAAATGTTATTGGGGGATGGAGAAATAGCTTAGCAGTTAAGAGCTCTGACTATTCTTCCGGAGGATTCAAGGTTGGTTCCCAGTACCCATATAGAGTGGCTGGTGGCTGTCTGTGCCTCCAGTTCCAGGGCATCTAACACCCTCTTCTGGCTTCCTTGGGCACCTATACACACATGTCATACATTCACACAGACATACACATACATATAAATACAAAATTTTTTAAAGTTAAAGTATGATTGGAACATTAAATCTACAGTTTCACAGACACTTGGAAAATCATTTTATAATGAGTTACTTTGCAGAAATATTTTAAATGAGTGAATGCTTGGGTGTGCAGACCCTGCACACACTGCACACAATGGCTGAGCACTGAGTGAAGCGGAAACTCCTAGCAGTTCTGAGGTCTACAGGAGGATGGTGGAGACCCGTGGGGTTTCCAGTTTGAGTGCTATTGACTCGGGGAATCTTTGTCACATCCTGTGAAATTGAAGCTGTTTCACAGCATCTTTTGGGGTCTGTGTACTAGAATCAGGAGAAAAGCCCTCCCTCAGTTGTGACAACCACAGCATCTCCAGACATTGCCACTTAGCCCCTGCTTGGAGCAGAGAGTGTGGGGTTACAAAAGTCTGCTTCGGTTGAGTGCAGGTTCTTTAAACACAGAGCCATGACTAGCCCGAAGACATGTGTCAGATAGAAAACCTTAAATCAGTGTGAATTAAAGCGAGTCCTTGCTGATTTACTCCAGGATCTTTCCTGAGAAGAGTCACAGCGGGGAGCTACACAGAAAGATGATGCCCTTGAGTCTGAGGTCAGATGTGTCTGTGCCTTGACATATACTCATTTATGACTGCTTTCAAAAAACATACAAAGTGCATTTACCCTTTACTAGACACTAATTCACTGTGTGTGTGTATGCTTAATATTTTAGAGCCCAAATAGTTAAGGCAGCCAAGAAAAAGAGGTACTAAGTCCTAAGAACTGGTATTTAAAAAATAAAAATAAAAAAGCCTCAGCCCTAGGCCATCTATGCAGCAGACACTGGTAACCTTTGGTTACAGAATCTGTTCAGGGAAAGCAAAAAAGCCACTTATTGATGCTTCTCTGACCAGAAGGACAGAAGCCACCGCATCCCCATGTTCTCTGTTACACTGTGTGTTATGCTCTGTGATGCAGGAGAGACTGTCACAGCCGTGGCTACCTTTGAGTGACCCTTTTCCTCCCACTCTCAGAAGAAAAAGGTGTCTCTCTTGAGACTGGTTCCATGAGCCAAATTTTAAGTAAACAGAAATAGAAGGTGCTAAGCAAACAAGCTCCCGCCAAATGGAATATCCAAGGTTCGAATGGCCAGCTGCCACTTTTGACTTGTTTTCCAGAGTAGAACCTTCTGGTTAGGCTGCCGTACAGCTCCCCGTTAGAAAAAAAAAAACAAAAAAAAACAAGACCTCAGAAAACAAAAAGCAGACCCCAGCCTTCCTCGCTTAGTTACACAACAAATCCTTGCCCAAGTGGTGTAGGATTTAGAGAAACTTAGAAAGTGCCTAATCTAACATTTTCCTATATGGGGAAACTGAGGTTTGGGGAGATCAGGAGTCACCCCACATGTCATAGGTCCAATAAGTATCTGAGTGAGGACTTGAGCAACTCCCCTGTTGCCCTGAGCTGCTGCTTTGACAGACATCTTTTCCTTCTAAGAAGTCCTTGAACTCTGTGCTGCTTTGGGCAGATGTCAGATCACTGCTGATGTGGCATTTCTAGGTCACTTGCGTTCGGTGGGGATATGGAAATCATCTGGTCACCCACTAAAGTAATTGCTTTTCCTTTTTAGTGCAAAGACACATGGTCTAAGTTGATGCTGAAATTTTAGACACACGAACCCAGGTCTGGGACTTGGCAAGGGAGCAGGCCAGATGGAAACTGTTGCTTGACAAATTGAAAGTCCTTTGTTTCTGAGGGGACCAAACCTGCCCTCAGCTAATCTGAAAAAAGGGGGTGGGTTTCTGGGCCCTTTGTGATAATTATGTTTCTGGCACAAACTCCAGCTTGTACCAAAACGCATTGTGGATTTATCATATAACAAAATGACATTACCAAAGCCCCAAACTGTAAATGTGCCTGTCAGGGAATTCTGAACGTGCCATTTAAAGGATGTTATTGAAGTGTGGAACACCTCGACATAATTGCTACTTCACTCCCAGGCAGATTTACGGATTAAAAACCCATCAGGGTGACGGCATCCCACTCTTACCATCATTATCTAAATAGCTAACTGCTTTAAGAATAGCAACCTCCAATTCATTTCACAACTGAGAACGGAAAGGGTTGACTTCAGTCGCAGATTGTATTCATTATTTATACTTGGTTTTTAAAAACTCATTTTAATGAGCACCTAGAACTGGTATTACATTCAACAAAGGTGAGCTTCAAAGGTGATTTCCCCCCTCAATTCATAAAGCCAGGTGAGACTTCACACAGTTCTGGCTTCTATTTCCTTGCTGAACTTCTAGGCCAACTTTGACTTCTTTCATGCATTTTTGAAACATTTGCTATCTGGTTTTTCTCTCACAAAATGAATTCAAGGTGATTCCAGTCCTCTACCTTGAAAAAGGTTTTGACTAGACGCACAAAGCACAGTCTAGTGTTTGTGCCTTCCCTGCTTCCATTTTCTTTGGATGCAGAGCATCCCATCTAGTCTCCTTCCCCGAGGAAAGCAGTTCTTGTCCTTTGTCAAGTTAAAGAACCTTTGTGACACCTGTTGAAGGTTCTGGACACTCTCAATATGAGTGCAATGTGCACATAGATGGTTTCTCTCTCTCTCTCTCTCTCTCTCTCTCTCTCTCTCTCTCTCTCTCTCTCTCTCTCTCTGTAATGAAATGGTGACTGTGCACTGTGCACTGTTAACATCTGGTCATCTAAATGGTGCTGGAGTTGGCTTCCTCATGAGACCCACGGCCTGGAGTATAAATGTCTGTGAGAATGCCCAAAGTGGTTCACTGCCAAATGAAGCTTGAGATCAGCTCCATTTGATAGTTAGGTGATTGGCTTTCTCAACAGGAAGGCAACACAAAATCGTTCTGGAATAAGAAACTGTCTTCCTAAGAACTAAACTGTTTCAGCCATTTTGGTTTGGACCTTGGTGGAGAGATTTGGAAAGTCAACTCCTACTACTGTCCTTAGAAGTGATGTCCTTCTTTTGGCTTTGCAGGGCTAGGGAAACAGTCCAGAGCCTGGCCTGCCTGTGCCAGGCAAGCACTGCACCCCTGAGCCACGCCTTCAGCCCCCACACCTGGTCATTATGCTCTACCCCAGGAGTAAGCTGCTTTTCCTGCAGGTTGCTATGCATGAATTCCAAGGCCCTCCGGTTTTTGCTTATTCCCCACAGCATCAGAGTGATGTGTATTAAGCCAGGGGCTGCTTACTTTTCCCTGTTGATTTGTTAACTAGTATTCAGTTCCCAACTGTGACAGGGCCAACTAACACAATTACTAACATCAGAAATATGTGCGTATTCAAGTATATCCTTAAATGGTGGTCGTTTTTTACAACACTCTCTGAGCTCCTACATCTCTTTTAGATATACTTTATTTTTTTATGTATATGAGTGATTTTTTTCCTACATGTATGTATGGACACTATGTACATGCCTAGTGCCCATGGAAACTAAAGAGGGCATTGTTGAGTCCCCCAGAACTGGGATTATGGATGGTTGTGAGCTACCATGTGGGTGCTGGGAACCCAAACCAGGTCCTCTGCAAGAGGACTGAGCCACCTCTTCAGTCCTCCCTCCTACATCCTGACAGAACTTTATACCACTCAAGACCTTTGTTTCTCTACTTACAGCATATTGGTTTATTAGTGAAGTATTTTGCTATTCATGGACAAAATGCTGCTGTCATATAGTTTGATACGGTTTCAGTGAGAGGCCTGACTGACTGTATGTGTTGTTTTATAGTAAAATTGCTTTGTGGAAACGGAAAGTGGATTGTGAAAGAGTTTGGGATGGCTCCCACCCAGTGATGTGGAAAGCTAGTGAATGGTATTATTGGTGTTTTGAAAAGAAGCAATGGACACACTCTGACTAGAGCTCAAATGTTGCCCAGGACACAGTAGGGGATAAAACGGAACCTGCATTTACCTTCGGCAAGATGGCCACCAGTCTTCAAAAAAGACTGATTTTTAATTCAAGAAGTGTTAAGAAAGCAAAATAACCCAGTTTGGTGTTGTTGGCTAACTTTTAACTGACTTTAGTTATTTATTGTGGGGTATGCATGTGCCATGTCACACATGTTGAAGTCAGGGTCGCTTGTAGGAGTTGGTTCTCACCCTCCCCCTTGTGGCCCCTAGGGACTGAACTGCAGTCCTCACTCCTGGCGGTAAGCACCATGCCCACTGAGCCGCCCCCACGTTGGGTTGGCACACTTCACTAGTTGTTTTCCGGGTCACAGAAAAGGGATGGCTTTCCTGTGCCATTTCCTAAGTGTCATGATCTGCATCATCTGCAGCTGAGAGTTTTGCTAGGGACACAGGTGTCAGGAGTGGTGTGTTCAGAAAAACATCATTGCTGAAGTATACAAGTCGTGGGCCATTTGATCGTGATGTGTGCGTGCACAAACATACACACATCACAGTTCCCAGTTTCAGAACAGATATATATATATATATATATATATATATATATATATATATATATATATATATATATAGGTCTAAAGGTGACTTTCTTTCCTACATACCATTTTAAAAACAAGGAGAACTTGGTGGTGCTGGGAAAACAAAGAAGGTTATTTAAACATCGTAATTCAGTTAGAGTTCAAAGAAGAGTTGGTTGAGGCCTGATGGGAATTTCCATGTAAAATAAAGTTGTTCCACTTGCCCCAGAATTGCCAAAAGTCACTTTGGGCTATGGCTGGGCCCTATCAATCATACTCACTGGGAAGTGGGAGGTACCATTTGCCTTCATGAATGCTCTCAGATTTAAGAGCAATTTTCCTGCACCATTAAGTGACTTATTTAAGTTTAGGTGAATTTCTTGTTATGACCATTTGTGTGTGTGTGTGTGTGTGTGTGTGTGTGTGTGTGTGTGTGTGTGTGCAGTTTGAAGGATAATGGGGAAAGCTTTTGCAATGGAGACATTTGTTACTTTATTAGCAACCTATTTGGTGTGCGGTTGCTTCCAATGGCCCAAATACATTTGGAAATAGGAGATACTCTTAAAAAAAATAGTTCCAAGTTTTCAAGTAACTTCTAGACTTCTAGAAATGTTCTTCTCTAGTTTATTTATACTTGGAAAGTCAAATTCATGTTATGGGTGTCACCAAGCTCATTGTCCATTGTGCTGTTTCTGATTCTATCTTCTAAATACTGTGAATGAGGATGGTGGAGGTTAGGCACATTGTATTACCTATCTCGGGTTGTGTGATCAGTGAAGAGCAGGGCTTCTTACTTGTATGACCTGGTTCCAGAGCCCATCACTTGGAGGGTATGGTCTATTTTTTTTAAAATAGGGTTCAGTTCTTGAGTTAAACTCTGGTCTCTTCAAAAGACCCATAACAGATTAGAGAGTCAAATTGAAAGAAAGCTACAAAATTCAGATCAATCTCTCCAAATAATGTTCTTCATGTTGCTTAGACACACACAGTAGGGTTTGATGATTTTGTTGCCGAAAATGGGAGGGACTTTGCATTTGCATTTTTTGGCTTTCTCAGCACAGTTTTAATATGTCTTTCCAGAATGAAGTGTCTATGTTGAAAAATGAGGTGGCCCAGCTGAAACAGCTGTTGTTAACACATAAAGACTGCCCAATAACAGCCATGCAGAAGGAATCACAAGGATATTTAAGTAAGTCACTGCTTTATTCTTTAGAAACCACATTTTTTGTCACGAATTTTGCACTGAATTTTACTAAAAGGGAAAAATACAGTCTAGGTTGCACACCCAGGAAGATATACTGGAATTACTGAGTGATTACAGGCTGTCCTGCCAGGGAGTGGGGGTGGTCTTTCCGGACCTCTCCAACACCATGCCCACCACTTCCTGATCACTTCTGGCCATACTTTCCCTGGCATTTCTGCATTACCAAATTCCAGCTTTGTAGCCAGGAAGAAACTAGTCTGTGGGGGTCCAATTACCAGCGGCCTGTTCATCATGCTGAGAAATCTGCAGGCTGGGAGGCAGCTTTTGGGTGAATCACTTCTAGTGTCTCAAGAGATCCTGCATGTTGCCCACCATTCTGGCAAGTTCTGGGGCTGTTGGAGTTTACCAGGAGGCAAAGTGGGGCCCCCTTTCCCTGTCTCCACTTTCTGCCCTGGACTATCAGTAGACTAAATGCTAGTTGTAGAAGGGATGGTGGGAGGAAGAATGATTCACAGCTGAAGGTCAATTTGTTTTCAAATAATTTTTTAGATTGAGCAACACAGATTCTCCCACCACATGTGAGTATTTTTCCACATTTAATATATGAATGGTATCTGAAAATACAACATGGGGAAGTTCACACACCCAGACTCAAACTCAAGGAGTCATTTTTACTGATGGAGAAAGTACGGTTTTACACGTAGCTGTAAAACCTGGAAGGCTTAGCTTCGTGACTTCAATTTATAATGAAGTTTGGACTGTACCTTCCAGAAGAAAATGTGTGAAACTCTTCCACATGAAGGAAATGTCTAATAGCGTTTTTATTTGTGCCTGAGGAATTCCCACAAGATAGAGTTATTTGTGTGTGTGTGTCTGTGTTCTCTTCTAGGTCCAGAGAGCAGCCCCCCAGCAAGCCCTGCCCCAGCATGCTCACAGCAGCCCGTCATCCAGCATAACACCATCACGACGTCCTCCTCAGTCAGCGAGGTCGTGGGGAGCTCCACCCTCAGTCAGCTCACAACTCACAGAACAGACCTCAATCCTATTCTTTAAAGGGCAGTGGTCAGACCTGGCCTCTGAGAAGAGCTGGAACATGCCATACATCCTTTCTCCAAAGGGCATTTTTAGAATTAACTCAGACCTGGAAGACGCCTCAGCCCTTCAAAGACTGGCTTTCATTTTTATAGTTATTATGGAAATGTTGTCTTTTATACTTAGTTATATAAGAAAAAGGGAGTTATGCAATGAATATCTATCAGCTTGGGAAGCGCGTTGGTGCTTTTCTCCAGTTTTCTGGTACCAGTTCTTGTTTATAAACGGAATCTTTCCTGTATATAGCCATAATTTCATTCTTACCAGTCCAACCCTTTGCCTGGAACAACGAATCTTGTTCAACTACAGCTTTTAGCCAAAATGAGGTATACGTAGATGTCAAATGAGATGGATCCACAGTGACTGGGTGGGAAATCTGGTGACGTCATAACTCATGTTGAGTTTGTGCTGTGACGTCACCAGAATCTCAGCTAAACACATGGACCTTCCTGAATTTTTTTTTTCTTGTTAGAAAAAAGAAATTATGGTCCATCGATGTCCCAAGAAAGCCACCAAGCATCTCAGGCCCTCTCCTGCTCTTGCCCACTTGCTCAGATGTCCAGTATCCTTCTCCAAGACCACTTCCCTGGATTCCTTACTTACTCTTTGTTTGGACTCTCTTCGGTTTTGCCTTTCCACCTTTAGCTTTGCATGTGAAGAAGAAAATAATGTTTAAAGAAGAAGAAAAGCAAATACTGAAACTGTGGACCTAACCATTGCTTCACTTGAGTTTAACCCACAGCTGGAGTTCATTCAACTCCTGCCTTTCACAAAAAAAAAAGTGACCAGGAGATGTTTAATGTGCCTGATTTAACGTTTTTAATAACCAGAGCAAATAAAAGGTGGTTTGGTTGTAGGTGAAGCACTGTTGAATGCCAGCTGTGGAGACATTAGGGACAGGAACTTTGTAAGCCCCAACTGTGAAAGTCCAAATTAGGATGTGGGCTCTGACATCACACCCTCGAATTACAACTCGTTTCTATGGCCTGTCTATAATGTTGAAAAATCCATGCACTATATAATAGTTCAGAAGGGCTCTGTTCACTACACAGATTACATTGTTCAATCATCAGCTGCTAATAGCCTAAGATTTATTATTATTTTTTTCCCTAAGCCTATGGAACCAGCTCTGTTATTCTGGTGGGCAAAAGTAGGCTCACTCCTGGAGACAGAAGGAGGGAGAAAGCAAGGCCAGTGTTTCTGCAGGGTGCTTGCAGTCTGTCAGAACAGACAGACTCTTTGGCTGCCAGTTGAGTTCCGTGGAGGTGGCCAGGCTGATGCACTCTTATGAATGGTTCTGATTTATATTTTCAGCAACTTCCATGGACTTGCCCATTATGAAAAGCAGATCAAACCTGAACCACAGTTGTGCCTCCTTGAAACAAGCCATTCTACTCTGCTGGTGTTTTAATATCATGTTTCACGAATAATAGGGGCTAATGTTTCTCACTAGCAGTCAAGGCATATGCTGGTGTTTCATCTCCGCCCAAATACTTCACCTCCTAACCTGTGTGTGTGTGTGTGTGTATGTGTGTGTGTGTGTGTGTGTGTGTGCGCACATGGGTGTGTGTGCCAGTGTGTGTGTGTGTGCGTGTGTGTGTGCGCGGGTATGTGTGTGTTTATGAACAGTATAGGTTTTAAAAGAACAGTATTTTACAAAAGCTGTCACTTTTATAAGAGTTCAGTAAAGGAAGGATGTACTTTTTCTCTCACTATAGTTTAAAAAATCTATTTTAGAGGAAAAAAAGAAAATATGAGGGCTCTGAAGCATGATTTTTATAACTAGTTTCAGTTTTATCTAATAACTTACTTTTAAAATCAATATTTATCAACAATTTTTTCCATGTATGCTGTGCTTTTGAGAGACAGGTTTGACTGTTCGGTAAAGCTTAAAAGACTTGGATATATGGCCTAAGAATAAAAAAACAAATGCAAAAAAAATAAATAAATAAAAAGAAGAAAAAAATGGAACGGGAAGAAAAAGATGAGGTGAACAGAATTTTCTATTGTATTTTAGGAAATGTAAGTGTATCATTTTCAAGTATTTTAAATACTGAATTCATATTGTTATTATTTTCTTCTGAATTCCGGCGGAAACAGAATGGTTGAACCTAACTGGCTTCCTAAGAAAAGTTTAAGACTTAGATTTGAAAGAAGTTCATATTCATGACTCTGGTTTGAAATCAAAAGTAATTTTCCGCACAATCCCTTCCTTAGGCCAGGTAGGTATCCTGCTCCCCTCGAAAGACAGGGGGCGCAGGTTGGAGCAGCTGAGCTGGTCGCTGTTACCTTGCATTTGCTTTGAGTTAAACAAGACCCTTTCTCTCTTGCCTACATGTTTAGCCCCTGAAGAAATGGGTTTCTTTTTTTAGATCCACCAGTAATACCACAACGTCCAGGGAGTAACCTGTCACTGAAATTATGATTTTTTTTTTTTAAGTTTACTTCTCTCTCGCCTCTTCACTGAAATCCTTAGCTGTTAAATGGGCGGGCTTTGCAGCTAAGAACTTGCCTGCGTTTTCTTAATTCAGCGACTCGACAGCTTGACTGATGTGCATTATTTATAGCTCAATTATGTCTGTTTTTTATGCTAAGTAGGCAAGCCACCACACACACAGCCAACCTTTCTCAACATATAATTAGAATCAACCGCCTTCGTGTTCCGTGCAGGGCCTTTAGGTGTGTTTGTTTGTCGTAGGGAGCTGCTTCTTCAGTGGGGGTACCAGCCTGTTGTCAGTACTTCCTAAAATCCCAGAGAGAAAAGCTTTTTTGGTGAAATCTAAAACCTGGTCCACCCCTGGTAAAGATGCCACATAAAGGTCCAGTCTTCACTGGATGGCAGAGCCTTCCTGAAGGGACCCTGGCCGTGCCTACCATACACCAGCCACTCCAAGAGAGCATCCTTTTAATACCATTATCTTCTCCCAGCCAGTTACTATGTCAGCCATGCAGACTTTTTTGTGAATCAGAAGTAATGGCCTTCAGAGTCCCCCATCCAAGGAAGAGAAGCCCCAGCAACACTGCTTCTCCTTACTCCTGTGGGGCTCCGTTATCATAGGATCTGCTTCTGAAGTCCCTGCCAGCCTCCTGGGCACTTCTCCAGTCCCTCCCTCCCTAATGTGCTGAGAGCTGGTAACTTAGTCCACCCCAGAGCACTTTGGCCTTGGCCGGGTGGATTCTCACCTCGATAAAGGCATTGTTTCTCTTTGACCCCTTCCTCAATCTATGATGTTGGGATAGGTAGATTGAAAGGCCCACCTGTGGGTGAATGTACTAATCTCCAAGCTAAATGTCCAGTTACATGTGGTCCCCAGGTGACGGTAGTCATCCCTTTCCTACCCTTTTGTTAACATGTGCAGGTCGCCATGGTAACACAACCTGTGGGAGACCAGTAGTAGGTGTGCCCGGCCCCCGTGTGTATCGTGAGATTTGGGTGACTAACTCAGCCTGTGCTCCTTGGAGCTTATCTAGTCAATAAATAAAATGCAGTGTGTGTTCTGAGAGAGGTATCAGTGGGGGGAGTGTTCAGGTGACTGTTGCCTGCTAGTAAAGTAAATTGTAGTGGCTTAGAGTTTGCCATTAAAATCATAAACCAGCTTCAGAAAAACAAAAACAGCCCTTAGCTGGGATCATTTTTGAAACACCAGTAACTGCTATAAAACTAGCCTTCCAGTTAGGGTAGAATGTCCTTCTCTTTGAGTAATTAAACCATCTGAGAAAATATATATGTATGTATGTGTATACAGTGGGATTCAAGGACCAAAGCAAAATTTGAACAGGAATCTATTAATTTAGAATTTATAAGATATTTATTAATAAATGTTATTTTAAACATTCCATTTGAACAGTATTCTTCTATAGGGTCTACGTGTCTTGAAACTCTTAGTCCACAATAAACTGCCCTAGTTAGGGTGCCGTTTGTCAGGCTCTTGGATGGCTATTCCCATCACTTGCTTGAAGCCCATGCTTTGATCCCTGTGCCTAGACCTTTGGAGGCTTGTTTGCTGTTCTGTGAGTTACTGGTTAATCTACATTCTGAGAAAGGTTTTTTTGTTTTGTTTTGTTTAAAAAAAACAACATTTATTTCTTCTTTTCATTTTTAAATTAAGCGCTTTCATTTAGGAAGAAATTCAACAGAAGGGCATCAGTGACAAGAAGCAGAACAACTTTTTTTATTTTTTTCTTTTCTGTCTTTGTTTTTGCATAAAATGCTTTCCTCCTCACTTCTCTTCACTGCACAACCATCTCCCAGAACACCTTGCACTACTCAGCTCTCTGGAGCTGCCTGGCCCCTCGAAAATAATGGGTAGCAGCTTTAAAACTCTCAAGCTCCGTCCCATCGTGTCGTGTCGTTGTAGCTGAAGGGGAAGGGAAGCCCGCTTCCCCGGGTAAAGCCGTGCCTGTGCCTACGCCACAGCAGTGATTTAGAACCTCTCTTCTGCTTTGAAAATAATTTATATGTTAAAGTTGCACTTTAGGTCTTGACCCCCTCCCCCTCTCTCTGCTTCTTGGTCTGACCTCTCTCTTGACCTTCAACTTGCCTTGGCTCCACCCTTCACAACTGTTCTGTGTAGGCGTCGGTGCTGCCCCATTTCAAATCCTTTATAGAAAATTTGCACCAGGTTCGTTCGTATGTGCACTCATTCCTAGCGTGGCTAGGCAGCTCTTCTCACAGCCTCGTGAAGCCTGCTCCAAGAATGCCAGGAAGAGCCAGTACACAGTATGACTTGTCCCCTCTGTCTCGTCCTTCCTTGCATGGTTTTGAAAATTGCTATATTATGCAACAGATGTGAGGCAGCAACTAAGCTATGCTTATGATTTCCTATCTCATCCTCCAAACCAAAGTGTCCTGAGTAAGCCAGGAGACTTCTCGTCTTGTGTGCCATGGTGCACACTTTACTGTTGTCCTAGCCATAGTCTGTGGAAGGCTGCTGAAGCAACAGTGGCCCTGCCCTCTTACTCCTAGGTCTCAAAAATACAATGTTGCCTTGTAGTGTGACTAAGGGCAGCACCTCTGTATTATAATTACAGCTTAAGGAAGGATCAGAAGACAAAGGAGCAATAAACTTATGAGTCAAAATCCGATACCAAAACACACAGAGAACTTCTCAGATCAGCCTAGTTCATCGTGTTGTGACAACAGAAATATGTCACTGTGTTCAAAGTCTCTTGCTATTCCTTGTGGAACTTTTCAGTGATGTAATGCTTGTAGCCAAATTGCTTAAAGAATGCTTATATATTTTTTCCTTATAAATCATCTATTTTTTGAAAAAGAAAAATCTATTTAACTGCAAACTGAAGATAGAATAAAGCCAAATTGCCAGCATTTGTTCAAGCATTAATACCAGTAAGTGGCCCTCTGATGCCTTTCCAACCTTATCACCAGGAAGGAATCAATAGTCAACTGCTATATTTAAATCAAGTTAAAGCATCTAGCTCATTAGAAGTCAGGACCTAGGGACTTCTTCCTAAGCCATTTAAGGTTTCCTACATTGGGGTTTATATCCTCGAACTTTATAGGGATTTTTTAAAACATAAAATCATTTCACCTCACATCAGACGATGTGGGACCTGAATAAATTAGCTTTAACTACATCATTCAAATCTTCCACACAATCAATGCATTAGATTTGCGTTTGCTCCTTTAAAATGCCATACTGCTGAAATTGCAAGAGACAGTAGTGGTGCCCCATGCAGGGAGTTAAGAGAAAGGACCCTTCCCAAGCAGCTGTGGGCAGGAAGACCTGCCCACCCCTTCCTTTCCAAGATTTCTGCTAATCTCATCTGCCTCACAGAGAGAAACACTGCCTTTGAAGATTGTCTCTGAGGAAAAAAAAAAAAAAGCTTGAAATGCTCTCCATAGAGAGTACATAATACTTGGGATCTTCTGAAAAGACCCCCAAATAATGGCTCTGTTCAAACACAATGTTCTAGGACAATTGGAATAGAAATATTGTCCAAAAATATAATAGAAAAAAGTTTAGCACTGTGTAAAGTAAGTGTTGATTGATAAAGCCCCCCCCCCCCAAAAAAAAAGGTGCCGTCACTTTAACTTCTGGAGTTGGGGTTGTCATTGTAAACAGCAAAGCCTTTGTGTTTGTGTGTCTGTCTGTAAAGCAACCACCTTCCAATTGGAGGGAGAAAAAAAACTGGGGGGTACATACGTGTAAATATTTGCTGCAGCATTTTAATGTGTTTAATTTTCTGTTTAGCTTTTTGTTGCATTGTGAACACATTTATTGTTACCAATGGACAATGAGTTCATTAAGACTGTTCGACTAGGTCAGATTTTTACTTCTCTTTCTAGCAAGAAGAGACAAGATTTTGTGCATTTGTACAAATGTTAATATCACTGCAATTCCAATATAATAAAGCACTCAAAAGCAAGTAATGTGGGTCACTTTTGTATGACGGAATTTGGGCTCGGAGATACTGGCACCCATTCTTCTTACAGTCTGGGTACTGCCTGGTGACCCAAAGCTTCCCCCACAAGGTCACTGTTGTGTGGGGACAGGTCAGGGCCAGGATTCCTCCTTCCCAGAGTGTCTCTGCACCCCTCCCCTTTTCCATGCAGCTTCTCAGCGGAGACCACTGCTAACAGGTTCTCACAGGTGGTCACTTCTGTACTTCACTAAGGGAGGCAGAGTTTTGCAGATCTTAATGCCAGACATCCCCAGTTCACGCCCCAGTTATGTGGGAAAATCAAGAAGCCACTGTTGGCCCCATGGGAGTTCTTCACTTGACCCCTCCCTAAGTGTGGCAAGGCTCCTTGAAGTATTCTAGATGGCTCCTTCCTCCTTAGTCACGGCTTTTCCTCCTTTATTCTTTTTAGATAATTCTCATTCCTCTTACCCAGTCTTCTCATACTATATTACCTTAGACCTGTGGGAGCCTGAACCATAGGGCCTGTCAGAATTCTTCCATAAATTCCTTGAGTCCAATATTATTGCAGTACAGACCCTCTAGACTCTGGGAGGTCTCCCACAGGTCACTTCTCCTTGCACGTTCTCAGGACCAGAGCTGCTCACTTGTCCTCTTCATGAGTCAGCAGGAAGAGCCTAGTTCCCTTACAATTTTCACTCAGTTCTCATCTAGAGAGAAAATTAATAGTTCATATTACATTTGGGTAATCTGTTATGACTGCATTCACGTTATCTTAAATGGAGCATTTGTTATGTATAACCTGGTTTGCTAGCTTTGATCTTCATTTTCCTCCTAGACAGATGGTTTGCTTAAAGAGGAGGAGCCCCATAGCTGGGTGGCAGTGGCACACGCCTATAATCCTAGCACTCAGGAGGCAGAGCCAGGCGGATCTCTGTGAGTTCGAGGCCAGCCTGGTCTACAGAGTGGTATCCAGGACAGGCACCAAAACTACACCGAGAAACTCTGTCTTGAGAGAGAGAGAGAGAGAGAGAGAGAGAGAGAGAGAGAGAGAGAGAGAGAGAAGAAGAAGAAGAAGAAGAAGAAGAAGAAGAAGAAGAAGAAGAAGAAGAAGAACAAGGAGGAGGAGGAGGAGGAGGAGGAGGAGGGGCCCCATCAGGAAGGCTCAAGTGATAAAGGATGTGAAAGTTATTGCACAGCATCTAACTGGGCTCTGTATCCGTTCTGATCAGAAGGTCTCTGAGAAGGCAATACTAACTGGTTCTAGGTGTGTCTGTGGAGACTGTTTTCATTCTGTGCTGTGTCTGGACTCCTTTCTATGAGCTGTTTTGTTTGCTCGGTCACATCTGTGACTCCACCATTTCTGAGAGCCTCACTCAGCAGCATAGTCATAGTCTCTCAATGCAAACTGCCCAGAGGAGCTCATGGTACCTCCATCTTTCTATCCCTGTTCCCTGGGTGCACACACTGGACCAGGGTTTCCACCTATCAGCTCTAACTTGGGAAGCTGGGTGATGGGGGCTTAAATCTCCGACTTCTGGAGATGGAGAAGGATTTTCCCAAAGGGAGTGCAGAGAAAAATGGTGACTTTGTGAAAAATCACTGACATTTCTAGAAGTGCCTTGTAGAAATCATGTCTCACTGCTACAAAGCATGCCATGAGGTGAAAGTTCAGGGAGAAGACTAGAACACCATCATGTGTAAGGCAGATGTTAAGAAATGTTCATCAAATGAATACATGCATGCGTGAATGGTGGATTCTTTCTTTATTAAAAGCTTGGGGCTGAAAGAGAGCATTTATTGAAGATTAAAGGCAAGGCTGGAGAGTTGACTCAGCAGTTAAGAATACTCGCTACTCTTGCTAAGGACCTGGGTTCAGATCCTTGCGCTCTCACAGTGGCTCAAATCTGTCTGTGACTCCAGTTCTGGGCGATCCAATGCCCTCTTCTGGCTTCAAAGGGCACTAGGATAATAAGAGGTCTTGTTGTCCAAATCTTAGATAGTCTTTTAATAAAACACGTGGTACCAGATATTGGGGTAAAAGCTGACAGATCAGACAGAGAAGCAGAGTAAGCCACAGTCACCACCTGCTACCTCACCAACTCCACAAATCCTCTGACTGAAATCCTCTGAGTCTTCACCCAAAAGGATCTCAGCTGAACTGCTTTAGTTCCTGTTTCCTTACACTTTATATACCTGTCTCTGCCCAGCCGTCACTTCCTGGGATAAAAGGTGTGTGTGTTTCCCAGTACTGGGATTAAAGGTGTATGCCACCACTGCCTGGCTCTGTTTCCAATGTGGCCCTGATCTCACAGAGATCCAGGTGGATCTCTGCCTCCCAAGTGATGGGATTAAAGGTGTGTGCCACCACTGCCTGGCCTCTATATCTGATCTAGTGGTTAGCTTTGTCCTCCGATCCTCAGGCAAGCTTTATTAGGGTACACAATATATCACCACAAGGTTTGTGTACATACATCCAGGAAAACACTCATTAAATAAAATAAATCTCTTAAAAAGTTTAAAATAATTTTGTACAGCTATTTTTTTCTGCATGGCTCAGCTTGTGGGCCTTGATATTCAAACCATAAGAATCAGCCATCACTAAGAGTATATTTCAGTTTTCTTGAGTGTTGTAATGATTTTCCACTCTCTTGTTTTGAAGTGATTTTATACTTATGCTTTCCAAGAAAGGTCATTGTCATGCTTTTCTTACAACTTCATAGGCGTTTCTTAGGATACTAGAATAATATCCTTGAAGGTGAGACTAGGACACATTCTCTTAAAAAATAAACATTAATTTTTTAGTACAATATATTTTGATACTATTTCTTCCCCTCCTGTTCCTCCTAGATCCTCCCCCAACTCCACCTCTCCCTCCTGGAAAACAGTAACAACAACAACAAAAACACAAAACAAACTAAGAAAATAAATAAATAAATAAATAAAGACAAGCAAAACAAAACCACAGAGTCCATTTGTGTGGGTCAACTACTCCTGAGCATGGGACCTGTCATGGAGTGTGGTTCATATACCCAGTGACACTCCTTTGGAGAAAACTGATTTCCCCTTTCCCAGCAGGTATCAATTGCAACTCCGTTGGGGGTGGGACTTTGTGTTCACTTCTCAGTACTGGGTTTCAGGACACACTCTTGACCCCAGACTCCATCCAAACACGATAGAGAAAACTTTAAGAAGTCTTATGTCAAGGAAGCAGGACAGATTTTTTTCCCAACAATCCTCCAAGAAAGCAAGAGAAAGGTGAAACTGAGAACTTAGAGAAGAGCAGAGCAGTAAGAATTGGTAAGTAAGAAAACGAGTAAGAGTTGGAGCTGGGTAGAGTCAGGTGGATCCCTGTGAGTTCAAGGCTAGCCTGATCTACAGAGCAAGATCCAGGACAGGCACCAAAACTACACAGAGAAACCCTGTCTCGAAAAAACAATACAAACAAACAAACAAACAAGAAAGAGTAAGAATTGGTGGCCCTGTGTGTTAACGTCACTGCCCTAATGTGTCCTGCAGGCCTGGACAGGTGCTCACCTCTGTCCTTCATACCCCTCCCTCGTCAGGAAAGCATATTCAGGGGGAAGCAGCCAAGCTCCCACAAAGGTGGCAAAGCTCTGAAGAGCACCCACAGATAAGGCCCTGTCCCTCTGTGGACAATTGACCTTCTACCTCCACCCACCCGGCACCTCAGACTCAAAGTCCCTAGGTTAACATGCCACCCCAGCTTACAGAAGAGCTGTGGGCCCCAACATTAGAAGGGGCCCCAACAACAGAGAGGCCTAAGGAAGGTTCTAGTCATAATGCTACCTTGAATAGCCACATTCCTTTGGGTGAGCACCTCAGCGATGAGGGAAGAGAGACACAACTGTAATGCAGCCCATCCGTGTGAGACGGCAAGACTCCTCACTCCATGCACCAGGGCTTACCACAGTGGAAGAGAAAGTGGGCTAGAGGTGGCTTCCTAGATGGAATAGCTACATACATTCCACACTAATTTCACAGACACCAAATCCAATTTAAGTCATTCTTAAAACATGCTTGCAAAATTAGCATTCTGCTTGCTCAGGAATGGAACTGTCTTAGTGCCTTGGTGAAGAAGAGCAGGGATGTTGGGGGTTCGACCAAAACTAGTGATATGTAAAAAAAGTCGTAAGGAAATCTGACAGTTGGTAAACTAATTAAAAGTAAAGCAAATAGAATGTCCGGGATGCAGAGATGGTTCAGTGGGTGTTCACACGTGCCATGTAAGCATGAGTACACCTTCCCAGAAGCAACGGAAGTCATTTTGGTAGCACATGCATTTGGAACTCACTTGGAGTACCCCAGTACCCCAACAGTGAGGTGGGGAACCAAGTCAGGAGACGTCCCAGAAGCTCTCGGGCCAGCTAGCCGGGCCTATGCAGTGACAACAAGACCTGTCTCAAACGAGCCAGAAAGGAAGAACGGACACCCAATTTTCTTCTGACCTTCATGGGTGTGGATGTGCTGTGTCCAGGGCAAGTGCAAGCCTCCATGGTACACACAAACATGCA